GGTGGATGCGGCTGGAAGATGGCGCCCTCGGGCCCGGGCAGAGTCAGGCGGCGCTGCCGGCGGGTGCTCTACTGGATCCCGGTGGTGTTCATCGGCCTCCTGCTGGGCTGGTCCTACTACGCCTACGCCATCCAGCTGTGCATGGGTGAGTACGCGCCCCCGCGCCCCCCGCGCCCCCCGGGGGAGCACCGTCCAGTCGGCAGCGTCCCCGTCACCCCCTCCGCAGCCCACCCCGACCGTCTGGGGACTCGGAGAAGCCGGGCGCTCCGAGACAGCCCTGCGCCCCGGGCACTGCCAGCGGGGTCTCCGCGCCTCCTTTCGCACTAGTCTTGCCTTCCCGGTGACAACTCTCCGCTTACGGTGTCACCTCCCCCCCCAGCCACACCCCCTCGCGGAGCAGGACGGTCCCCGGAGGGAGAACAGTGGTCGCCTCTGCCAGCCGCCTCCGCGGAGAGGTGAGGCCGGGGAGGCTGCGCTGGGGGCTGGAGGACTCGAGGCCGGGCCCGGGATCCGAGCTGCGCCAAACTCTCGCGGGCGTGGGAGCCTCGGCCTCGGGTGACAGCTACCTTTTCCTGCCTGTCCTTCATCCCCTTTTAAAATGTTGGTGGCGGTGCTCAGGGGCGTTTTTGCTGCTTCATGATTTGAGGGTTGCCAGTTGGACACTTTCTAGTTTAAGGGAGAGGGTGGAGGAGAGAGATTCCAGTGTTTCCAAAGACATATGGAATATAACCAAAAAGGAAACCACCACCACCACCACCAAAAACAAACAAAGCCGCTGCCATCAAATTGATTCCGACTCTTAGTAACCCCTCTAGGACAGAGTAGAACTGCCCCATAGGGTTTCCAAGGAACGGCCGGTGGATTCGAACTGGCCACCCTTTGGTTCGCAGCTGAGCTCTTAACCACTGCGCCACCGGGGCTCCGAGACCATAATTTCGATATTAGAATAGTGGGGGGTGGGGGGTGACCGTCTGAGGTTTTTTCGTTCAAAGAGCCAAGTGGCCCACGTCCAAGTTTTAGGCTCCTGAATTGGTGAGTCAGGGTAGTTTCAATGCTGAAATTTAAAAAAAAGGTTGATTTTGCACAACTAGTGAATACAGTTATATCCTTTAATAGAAGCTGGCTTCAACCTTCAGAGGTTTTGTGCAAACCGACGGGTCCTGTGAGAAAAGGTGCTGAAACAGAGGAAGGCATTCCAACCCGAGCGTTGAGCTGTGAATGCTTTTTGTGTTTGGCGCTCCGCCTACAGAAGTGTCTCGTTTTTGCCTTACTGAGCCCGAGGCCTGGGTGGGAGCAGGAGAAAGATGAAATCGTGGGACCTTCCCAACGTGAACATTTGCAAAGCCTTCAAGATCAAGACATAGAATCTTGTCTGAAAACATCGCGTCTCAAAATGCCCCTTGTGGGAAACTATGCACCGAAATAATTACCGCCATAGATTTAAGGGATCCGATACTACTGATTTCATATGGTTTTTAATTTCACTATTATCACTTTGTTTATTGCAACAGAAACCATCTTGCAGTACAAAAAACGAATCTGTTTATTGTAAAAAAAAAAAAAGGATTGGGCTGTACTGAAATCTTCAGGGCAGTGCATCTAGATAGGTGATGTTCAAGTCATCTAAAGTGTGTAGGAAGAAAGTTTTCGGAAGCATTTTGTAATTTTTCTATTAACTTTTAATATCAAATAGCTTGCCTTTCTGAGAATCACATGCCATGGAACTATTAGGAACCTCTGTTGTATTTTATTCCTTAACCCTCTTCCAGAAGTGAATGTTTCGGTTGATGTCACTGGTTCAGAGGAGGGCCAACCCAGATGGCCTTGATTATAGAAACAGGCAGCTGAGTCTCCTACATGATCGCATTAAGGCAGGAAGCTTAGCGTGGTACAGCGTCTCATGTCCATCAGGAGAAAGTGCTTGAAGCCAAGAAGTGCCTTCTTTCCTACCAAGTGCGTCTGCGTCCAGCGGAGGGGCTACCTGCGGAGGTCTTAGTATATTGGGCAGACAAGTAGCAGGGGAGGGAGAAGCGGCAAACTAAATAGAAAATTGCTGTTATATCTGGATCATATTTTTCTATAGAGTTTCTGTGAGTGTAAGACATATGTATGTAAAGTATCCACAAAATCCACATCACTGTTTTCTGAAGTGGCAGTTTGGTTAAGGGGGAGAATACCTCTTTTTAAACTGCCTAAGTGACGTGGTCTGTTACTGTCACTTTAACTGGCAGTCTTGAAGAAGTTGAAAATCACTTCCTGTCACTGCCTACCTGGCCGGGCATGATGCCTGCTGCATGGAAAGCAATCAATAAATGGTGTTGAATAAACAAATAAATGATTCAGAGGCAGCATCTCCTAGGTTGTCAGAAAGTGGTTTTAAATATTTCTGTTGCTGTAGAAAAGGAGCCTTGGCGGCACAAAAGGTTAAGTGCTTGGCTGCTAACTGAAAGGCTGACAGTTTAAAGCACCCAGCAGCTCTGAGGGAGGAAGAACTGGCAATCTGCTCCTGGCAAGATTGCAGCCTAGGAAACTATGGGGCAGTTCTGCTCTGTCACATGGGGTCACTATGAGTCGAAAATTGACTTGATGGCACCTAACCACAACACATTGCTGTAGAAACAAGTAGTAAATAATGAATTTAAATCTAGAAGTGATGGCAGAGTAGGAGTGGTCAACTTCAGAAGTCTTGGATAGCTGTAGCTGGGTGGTGGTGGTTAGCTGCTGTGGAGTTGTCCCTGACTCATGGGGACACCATGCACAATGGGAGGAAACATTGCCTGGTCCTGTGCCATCCCTATAATTGGCTGCAGATCAAACTGTTGTGATCTGTAGCGTGTTCACTGACTGGTTTTCAGAAGTAGATCACCAGGACTTTCTTCCTAGTCCATCTTGGTCTGGAAGCTCTGCTGAAACGTGTTCAGCATCATAGCTACATGCAAGCCTCTGCTAACAGACGGCTGATGGATGACGGCTCCGTGGCTGGGAAATGAGCCCGAATCTCCTGCATGGAAGTCGAGAGTTCTGCCCTGAACCACCACTGCCCCACACCTCGGTTGGGTAGGAAGTTGAAATTAACAGTGCAGTCCCTTTATAGACACTGAGAAAGACAGCAACTGGTGTGAGAAACACACAAAACCACCTTCCTTCCTTTTCACAAACAAAAATGGAATCCTAACCTCCTCCCTCTCCCCCACACCCCCAGTATTACATTGTAGACTGCAGATTCTTTTTCTCTTGAAAGCTGTATTTACAATCAGAGTCGGCGAATTTCACCTATACAACATTGGCCAAAGGTTGATGCCAGAACATGGGGGTGGAGGCTGGGAACTGGAGAGGGTAAGTGAAGGATAAGACACTGGTCCTCCTCCTCCATCTGCTGTCAGCTAGGGATGACCCTTTGCTGAATGAACTGCAATTTAGGAGTAGTACTTAGCCTGGTATCCTTGGAAACTGGAGATAATGATTCTCATTACCGTTCGTTTCTATATTTAACATCATGGACGTGTGTGGCTCTCTAGGCACTCTTTCCGTGAGTGGAATTTTTGCTTAGTGTTTGTATTTCATAAAAATAAACTCGTCTCTCTTTGCAGAATGTGTGTATATAAAATGTATAGGATGTAATATATTATATGAGAGTCCAGTGTTCCAGGTAGGATTGTCCCACATGTAATCATTCAGATCCTGATTATCCATTGTCTTATTAACTAGACCCTTTTATTCATATTATTCGTCCCCCTCCTACCCCTCCCTTCTCTGCTGGTTTCCTTGCGTGTTGTCTATATTTGGTTTCTTGAATTATTAGGTAGCTCGTTTGCCTTCTGTAAAGGAGGGTAAATTCACAGGGTAAAATTTGTGCTTTCGGATGCAGGATTACAGGGAGTATGGAGAGTCTGCAGCCTCAGGCATGTTGATTCATTGGGTTTACTGCACATGGTCGGTATGTTTTGTATATCAGTCATGCAGTTAGTGTATCAAATTTGCATGTTGTAGAAAGTAACTGCATTTTCCCTTTGAGGAGCTAACATTTAAAATTGTTTTAACTATTTTTTTCTTTCTTTTTTGATGATTTTTTACTTTAGATGAAAATGTACCGAACAAACTAGCTTCTCATTAAACAGTTAGTACACAGAGTGTTTTGTGACATTGGTTACCAACCCCACGACATGTCAACACTCTCCTGTTTAACTATTTGTTGCTACTATTTGTTTTGTTGTCATTTCAAATTTACAGAAAGCTTTCAAGAATAGTACGAGAAACTTCCCCCATAGCCCTCTGTGACCATTTTGGTTATCATTTTTCTAAAATGTGTTTGATCCTTCCTTGCTCCCTCAGCAGCTACTACAGAACGTTTGCTATTATATCCTGTTGTAATACAGTTCTGAGTTTGCTCATGATTTTAGTGAAGTCATTTTTAAAAATCATAAAGATTGAAAAGCTTAGAGATCATCTAGGCCAACCTCCTCCCTCATTTGTATATGAAAAGTTCATATGCTCAAGAGATTGCTAAAAGTTCTGTGTCCTGTCACCAAGTCACCCAACTGAGATGTCAGCTGTGATTTTGGCAGCTGTGGTGTGACGGTTTCAAATGTCTCCACTTCCCCGCCAAACCCCTCACTAAGTCTCTCTAGCCCGAGGAACTTGTTAACACCTTTGTTAAACATTAGCATTGCTGTTTAATGAGAGTTAGCAGGGCTCTGAAAAATAAGCCAAGAGCTTTTGCACGACTGTTTAAGGGTCAGAGGACTTTATTGTTCGGTCCAGATAGTAACTCTTCTAGACTTTGCAGGCCATCTGGTCTCGGTTGCAACTACTCAACTTGGCTATTGTAGCACAAAAGCAACGGTAGATAATACTTAAACAAATGGATGTGACTGTGTTCCAATAAAACATTATTTACAAAAACAGTAGGCTGGCCAGATTTGGTAGCTGGGGTGTGTTAGAAGTTAGACCATTGGAATACTGGGGTTTTGCTCACAGTTTTGCAGTCTTTATTAATAAACCCCCCTCAGAATGGTTGTCAGCCTCTTATATGCCACAGGGATTACTGAATTAAAGGCATTCGTACAGATACTTAGGGGTCAGTTTGGGAGATAAACAATCATATTTTCCTCCCTTTAAGCGAACAAACATTCCAAAGGATAGAAT